GTTCTCCCTTGAATAGGCCCCTATATATATATATATATATATATATATATATATATATATATATATCGGGCGGTGAAAATGAGATATTTCGAAGAAAATTTTAATACATACTCCTTAATTTTCAACATTTATTCACAACAACCCCAAACTTTTAAATGACAACTCGGTTATCACAAGTGGTGATCGGCCCTCACCCATCTGGAGGTGCACACCCATTTATGAACATATACAATCATTCTACAAATATATTAAAATATCAATAGAATGCATCTTGATTATTTTTCCTATTTCAATGTATACAATATTTGACGACACTTTTGGTAGATATATAAAAAGATAACAAAAATGATATCGTGTTCAATACAATATTTATATTCAAACAACGTAATTTAAAACATATTAACAAATTAAATAGAGATGGATTATATTTGGTTCCAACAAGTTGGTGTATGAGGCAGTGATCAAATTCTTCGACAAAATTATCAATTTTATAATGCTTTAATAAGGACTCATTTATACTATATTATAAAACATTTGATAAAATTCTTAAAAACCATTTTTTATGCGTAAAATACTGTTTATTAATGCATATTACTTAAAACTCAATATTGCAAGTAGATTGTGCGTAAGTACAACTTATTAAAGTTTCATATCTGAATTCGTGTAACTAACTGCAGATAAACATAATCAAATACAAGATAAACGTCTCATTTTAAATATAAAAAATCTAAAATATAATTAAGATAATCATCAAGTTCTAACAGAATACTTAATTATTATTTTTATAAAATGTTATATTATTAAGCCAAAAATAAATTATTTCGTTATTACACTTAAATTAAATTATAATAAAAAAATAAATTAAAGAAATTACGTAAAAAATATGAACTTTTAAATAGTTGATTTGATATTAACATTGATATATTTTTTTTCAAATTTTTATGATATTTTCAAATTTATATTTTATTCAAAAATAAAATCATTATTGTTTTCTTAAAAGCACATAAAATCATATTATAACATCGACAGAGACAAATAATAAAATAGAACATTAAAATCGAGACGTGTCTCGCCGCATTGCACGAGTACTCTTCTAGTGTTTTTTTTTAATAACAATTTCATGGTCATGCCCGTTATATTGGTTCGTTTCATATACGTCCTGTTTCCATGGTTCAAGAAATACGATTCCTTAAAGGAAGTGTGATTCAAATCTTTGTTTGAAAACTAGGAACGAGTTTGGTTTGATAGTCGTGAGTCGTGACTAATCATGGATCAGTCCTAACCGTGTCTCATTTCTTATTATTTTAAGAACAAAATTTGTTGCTTTAACGGAAGCAATAGTTCGTCATACAATTTTAGAAACCAGCCATTATAAAGAATGTCGGCCAGGTTTGACTACATCAAGATATTTTGTATCGCACTTTTAACGTAATTAATGCTTTAAAAATGGGGACCGTTACCCATACTCTTTGTTTCTACTTTCTTCCATGACCGTATGTTTGGCCTACGAGACAAGATGGTTGTTTATGGTTGCATAGGGTTATTGTCAAAATATGGTGGTGGGTTCCCGAGTTGTTTTCGCGTTTTGAACTTGTGGTTGTGGTAGGTATGCTTTTGCTTTATAAGGGGGTAAATTTTGGATTTTGCTTGGACATTTAAGGTGGAATATATACATATAGGGGCCTAATCAAATGAAAACTAGATAGTTTGTGGTAAATGTGAAGTTCAATATAAGCCAATCATTTTTAGATAATTAATGTTATTTACTAAAATAAAGCAAAGGGTAAACTAATAAATTGTGTTGATCATTTAACTTACTTTAATTAGTTTAATATTTCCAATTTACTTTAATTAGTTCAATTAGTTTAATTATTTTAATACACACACAGAGACCAAATTTGATGGCCTTCTCCGACACCCACCACCACTCCGGTGACCTCCTTCGGTTATCTTGTCTGACCAAGACGCCGTATCCGATGATCAACCACTAAACACCCACCTACGACAATGGTACCACAGTTGGCATCACAGTGGTCTCAAAGTTTACCTGGTGTGTTTGTGGTATCACATTGTATGTATTTTGGGTATCACATTGTATATCTTGGTGTATTTTGAGTATCACATTGTGTATCTTGGTGTATTTTGGGTATCACATAGTTTTCGTTGGAGGCCGAAGGTAGGAGAGAGAGAGAGAGGGGAGAGATAAAAAATTTAAAATACCTAAAATGACATTTAATTATAATTTTAAGTCAAATTACCAAAAATAATAGTTTTCTAATTTATTCATTAATTTGTGGTTGAGATTGGATCTCATAGTTATCACAAACTAATCACTTCTTCCTTGAATGAACCCATATATATATATATATATATATAGACTTGGGATCATGTGAGACCAAAGGTTTTCCGTGAGACCAGTAAAACCAATTTTCAATCTTTGGATTAGATCTATATATATAGATTAAAGAAAGAAAAAATATATAGGTCAAAAATACCCCTACAAGTTTAAAGTCTAATGCTAAATTTTAACCATTAAATCATTAGCTTATAAAGTTGATCAATGAACATAAATTGGTCTTACGGGTCTCACGGAAAACCTTTGGTCTCATGTGAACCCAACCCTATATATATATATATATATATATATATATATATATAATGGGTAAATGTTCATTTGAGAAGTAAATAAGTAATCCTAGCTCTTTATCTGGTCAATATTTTGCAGTTTTGATCGTGAAACACAAGATAATTCCTCCCCTTAATTTGTTTGAAAGAACATGTAGAGGGGAGATGATTAACCTCCCACTATCAGTTAGCAATGGAAAATATTTTGTCGTTTCACATGCCTAAGAGTAGCATTGGAGAAGAGAAAGGGATAAAATTAGAGGCTGTTTAATAGTTGCTGAATGGTTTGATGCAGAATGATTAAGTGATCAGAATAATTAAGAGGGTCTTATGATATAGTGCAAAATAAAATATAATTGTTCGGTAATTATTTACAATAGAATTAGGGTGCTGAATGGTTAAGAGAGACCCATGATACAAAATCATTCAGAGGGTTTTAGAATCATTAAGAGACAGATTTTTTTTTGTCAAACAAGATTCACCTCTTAACGATTCAGAGACTGCCTCTTAATATAACTATTAAGAGGTAAACAAACAACCCCTTAATAAATTCAAGGTAAGAATTCATCTTAAATGTTCTGTTCTAGCATGGGTCATTAATTAATTAATAGCCATGATGTCTAGAAATGATCAATACAAAGATGGCATGAATATTCAAAAGTTGTTAGCCCAATAACTTGTTGAAAATAGTGTCTTAATGCATTGTTTGTGTTTAATGGGTTGAACCCCAAATTAATGTATGAATTGGTGTACAAATTGTTGTTTCCCTGATTAATGGTGTTAGAATCAAACCCAAACAAAAAGAGTAAGTAGAAGCGATTTAGATACGTTGCGGGCCTTCACGTGGAAGACCAAAACCTATTGTTCTTCAAGGCCTATGCTCGGGCTAGGGCGGTGTTCTGCTTTTACGACCATAACTTTGCTACGGGCCTCCATTTTAGGCCCATAATATGCCGATTTTTGAATAAACGAACTTTGGAAGTGATTATTCCAAGCCATTCACATAATCAACGAGATTAATCTTTTGTTTGATATAATCCACTGCATCAGAATCAGAGAGAAAGAAGAGGATATATGGAAGCAAGCAAATAGGGACATTGAATGACAATATTAGCTAGCGGCTAGACCGACAAGCAGAAAAAACAAGAAAACAACTACACCGTGTTCGGGTTACAAGACCACCTATTCCAAGCTAGCTTGCCATAAGCCTTACTTCTATTACAGAGCCAAGAGTACATAGAAAGCTGAATATCATTAGCCACACGGTAAGTGTTTAAAGGCACACCTTTGAAAATTTCGGCATTTCGACCGTTCCAAATCGTCCAACAGTACACAGCAAGCAGCATCTCCTTAATGTCCGGTTCGGATTTCGGCTTATGAGAGTCTAAGTTGTAGAAAGCCTCACCCACACCGACTCACTCCCGTCCAAATCGGTAGCACCTTTGGACCAATTGTTGATAGCCTCTCTCACCACTCTTGTCTTCTTGCAACCCATAAAAATGTGATTTACATCTTCCGCTTCATAAAAATGTGAGACCAGCTTTTTACACTTGAAATTTCACAGCAAAATGCTGTGAAGGTAACTTTCACAGTGTTTTTCCTGTGAAAGTTCGACTTTTTTAAACCTTCACAGTGTTTTTGCTGTGAAGGTTTGACTTTTTTAAACCTTCACAGTGTTTTTGCTATAAAGGTTCGACTTTTTTAAATCTTCACAGTGTTTTTGCTGTGAAGTTTCAAGTGTAAAAAGGTAGTCTCACGAGTCTCATGAAAACAGTCTGGTCTCACGTGAACCCATCCCTATATATGTATATGTGTATATATATTGAGGAAATTAAGTCCGAATGTCAGATAAATTACTTTCCCGAGGGACATCGAGGAGAATAAGTCCAATTGGCAGCAAAACCACCATTGTTTTCGCACCTTGCTGAGGCCAGTTGACACAATGATGGAATCATGGTTGTTTTGTGCATGGAAACCAAGTCTCTTTAGCAACAATGGAGGACCGATGGTGTGCAGATATGATAAGTTGACACAGGCAATGAATGTCAATAATCAGTCAGTTAAAATTGAAATCATTCAACTTTTAGATGATAATGGTACACAAATATAATCTAGAATCAAGAAATCTAAAGCTTTCTTCAGATATATCTAATCAGTAAGTCAGTTCTCTAGCCTAGCCATGTTAGAGTTTTGCAGGATATGAGAACGAAGAGCCTGATAAAAGGCAGATCGTTCTTCGTCAACATCTTCTCTAATAAGATTTCCCCCAAGACTCCCACATGTCGAGACCGAAACTTCAAGATCGAAGACATCCGATCTACAAAGAGGGCAGCTCGAATGAGTTTGAAACCATGTATCGATGCATGCTACATGAAACACATGACAGCAATTTGGTATCGTTTTCACCCACTCATCCTCTTCATACTCACCCAAACAAATCGCACATTCAGTATTTTGATCAACCACCTTATCTGCAGACTTGCTTTTTTTCTCGAACTGTGTAACCGGCATCATTTGCAGGGTGAGTGAGTCGAGCCCACGGCTCTGGAACTGTAGGGAAGGATCGTTACCATCTGGGATTGTGTCGTGTAAACGCCTTCTTTGACCGTTTGCAGAGAAAAACACGTTGTGGAGTGTGCAGCGTCGTAGTATGTTAAAGTAGCTAAAGACTAGAAATAGGGTTCCCATGGTGCCAATTATGGCGATCACTATTGGGCTCCATGATGAAGGTTGGAAGCTCGGAGATTGTGCAGGACTGCTTGCGGCCATGATTCTTGTAGCAGGAGATCTATCAGCAGGTTGAGTTCTCAGATGGGGTTCAAGAATTTATCTTTTTGTGGTGTGAAAACATTGTTTTTCGAGGTGATTGAATGGTTGTTTTCATGAAAATAGAATAAGACGATGAAAACAAAGTGACAACCGATACAAACAGTGCTGTTGATGATACTTCTTAAGGATCCTGATGAGGTTACCCAGGTATTGAAGAAGTCATGTTAAACAGGAGTATTATTTATTTTTTTTATTAACCTGGATATCCAACCCGTTATGCAAGCCGACTAATCCCAGGATGACCACCTTCTTTGCAGATAGTCCGGAGTCGGCACATTTGAACCTCCGTAGCCACAAAGGGGATTTTTATTCCTCCTTGGATTTGAACATGGGACCTCCTGATGCTTTTGACTTTTAGAGCCAAGCTCAAACCAATCCGGATATATTAAACATCGTGCGGGCATTGGATCATTGTAATATTCATACAAGGAAATATAAAACACAATACGCCAAAAATTGGTCACATAAAGCCACTATATGATTCAATTCAGACCCTAAAAATAGCAGATCATCATGTACACCCATTGGATCATCTCTCAAAACCCATCACACTCCTTTACAGAAAGAACAAAAGAGCAAAAAAGAAAGCAAAAACAACCATCTTTTAACGAGTTTATTGAAACCTTTGCCTCTTATCAATCTGACCAAAACTACAAGAACGAGGACAACCTGTTACCATCCTCCTTCTAGAGTCACTTAAATTCACATCATCAAAACTCAAAATACTTGATCCACCACCACGGACGTCCGTTAGCTGAGAAAAATTCCCACAAGACATCTCAACAAATGGCTGTGATTGTCTTAATATCATCATCGACATCGGATTCTGGGCATTGTTAGAGCCAGACACAGTCGGGATATGGAACGACGACAAGGACATGTTCTGCCAATTAGGAACCGGGCTTGCTGCAAGCACGGTTTCCATAAGCGGACCAGCTTCCATAACCGCTTGTAGCAGGTTCCCTTTTCTTGGCAAGGTCTTTCCCTTGATCATACTCTCCATCATCAAGGTAGCATGATCGGTTTTTGGGACACTTCCTGATGCATGAAGACCATTGGCAGATACCAACGTAGTGTTGGTGTTCATGTTAGAGAACTCCGGGGAGGTTACCGGATCGAAAAGTGAATCCACCGGCGATAAACAGTGATTGTATGCATCAGAAAAACTGTTGGATTCTGCCATACTTGAGTTAGCTTTAGCAGGTTTCGATAAAGGGCTCTGATGAAGGTGATGAAGTTGATCAATTGCAAAGCAATCGGAGATCATCATAGTATTGTGCATAGGAGGCATAATTTTGATGAATAGCTTCTGGATTTGATCTCTTGCTTGATCTCTTTCATGACAAACAAATTTCAAGAGCTGCAACAATTGTTTCACTGATTCACTGTTTCTATTCATCTCTTCATTTGCTCTTGCTTTTACTGCCTCCAGTTCTTGTGCTGTGTACTGAATCTTGAGCTTCAGTTCATCAACGCTCTACAGTTTCCAAAAATCACGAAAAACAATATTAGAACATGCAAATCTGATTCTCAGACTCTCAAGCATTACACACACGAAAGTGGGTTTTTTCACACACAAACAACACAAAATATAAGATCTCCACATGGAGAGTAAACCCAAAAGAGCCCAGAAAAGAAACAGAAAGAAAAAGCTTCAGATTTGAATTCAGGAAATGCATAGGATCGACATTTGGCAACAATCCCAGCAGAAAAAAGATGGAATTTGAGTTACAGTTGCAATCAGAAAGCATAGATTCTTGTGTCTTCAACGAGGGAAAAGGGAGTCATATATATGAACAATAAAAAGAATCCACCATTCAGATGTGTTTTCCATCTTAATGGAAAAGAAGAGCAAAAGCCCGATGATAACTTAACCAACCTCTTGATAACTCCATAAAGACGACATTTCTTCCATTCGTTCTTCCTTTTTCTGTCAGTGTGTTGAAAGGAGCCAGAAAGGGAAGGGAAGAGAGGTGCATCGGAGTATTTTATAGAAGAAAATTGTCCAATATCATCAGTTTTTGAATGAAATCTTTTCCCAATTCTTTTAAACTCTGTTTTAAAGTATTGACGCCTTAACCACAATGATTGGTTTGAGCTTGGCTTGTCAAAATTATCAGGAGGTTTTATGTTCAAATCCAAGGAGGAATAAAAATCCCCTTATGGCCATGGAGGTTCAAATGCGGTGACTCTGAACTATCTGTAAAGCAAGTGGTCGCCCTAGAATTAGTCAGCTCGCATAGCGGGTTGAATATCCAGGTTAATTAAAAAAAATATTGAGGTCTTTAAACAATTAATATAAAAAAGTAAACACGGTCATTTTATGAATTTTCAACCGACATCTAATTAAGATAAGCATGTTGTGTGTATAACACAAAATTTTCATTTCAAACAATAAATTTCGGATCTGATTGGTTTGAGCTTAAACTCTAATGGTTAAAAGTGTCTGCAGATCTCAGGTTCGAATCCAAAGAGGAACAAAAGTCACGGAGGTTCAAATACGATGACTCCAAGCTACCCACAAAGCAGGTGGTCATCACATGATTAGTTGGCTCTCATAACAGGTTATATTTCCAGTTTAATAAAAAAAAATCTTTACACAATTAATACCCAGTTTAAATTAAAATAATAAAGATATGGAGGAATCTTATTTTTCTATAAACGAGTGAATTTTGTTTGGAATTGTTTGACATTTCCTTGCATACCTTCGTTGTTAATTAATGCGTATTTTGAATTTAGCATTTACTACTGAATATTTATGAAACTTTTTACTTTTATGCCTTTAATTGTTAAAACAACTTGTAAATAATCATAAGGGTGGTGTCTAATTGATTTGAGCTTGACTTCAAAACTCAAAAGTATCAGGAGGTCCCAGATTCAAATCCAAGAAGAAATAAAAATCACCTTGTGGCCACGGAGGTTCAAATATGGTGACTCCGGGCTATCTGTAAAACAGGTAGTCGTCCTGGGATTAGTCGGCTCGCATAACGGGTTGGATATCCAGGTTAATAAAAAAAAACTTGTAAATTGAAATATAAAATAAACATCCTAAAATCTTATTTAGAGTAAATTACAAATTTTGTCCATGCTTTCATGTTGGTTCTCTTTAAGTCACGGGTATTTCAATCCTTTTTTTTCAACTTCTTTTAAAATTGTAATATCATTTAGTATTTTATATCAGAAGTTTGATTCAATATATATCTAATACACTGTTATTATATAAAATAGTATAATTTATATAATCACTACTAGAAAATTGGGCATTAGCCATAACTTATTTGCTATGGACCGATTTGTCACTAATTTACGACGGATCAACTACAAAACCAATTTTTTTAATTTCTACTCGTATTTTTTGCATCAGGTGTATGATCCGTAGCTAATTATGTAGTATTATCGGTTCCGCTGTTGTTAGGCGGATTATGATATTGTTCAAGAAAATATATGATGGCGTGTGGAATACGTACATCACCAATATCTCCCCGCTCATATTTAGAGGATGTTCAAGGATTTAAGGAATGTATTTGCATATTCTACCTAAAAGTACATTCACATGTTTTTTCTAACACTAAAACTTCATATATGTGCGGTTGATGTATAAGTGGGCCCTTCAACATGATATCGTGATGGAAAAGGCTGTCACTCAGGTTAAAAATCGTCATGCGGATATAATGAAGGTGACAGAAAATATGCCATTACTCTTGCCACAAAGAACCATAGGAACCCTAACAATGCGGGCATGTCGGCTTTAAAGGGATATTCCCCTTTTTTGGATCTGACAGGGGTTATGGGACGATTTGAGTGATAAGGTATTTATATTTAAATTTGACGTAGAAATTACTGCTATGCTAGTTTTTTAGATTTTATGGCTATGTGGTTTGTACAAGGTTTCGAGTACGGATGCATGGAAAGTAAAGTCTGAAACAGGTAAAACAAACCGGAACACTTTGGTAGATGGTGTGGTTTCATAACACATCGGGGGGCTCTGTCAGTTGTGCCTTGATCAATAGGTTGCTTTGGTAAGTAGTATTTCTAACAGTCCTTATATTCAACTACGTTTCTTAGTTAATTACTACTAAATGCTTGACTATTATATGCAATCGCAAGTTGTCGATTGCTGAAAGTCTTTAAGGTCTCTCATGTGCCTTGCATATATGAGAGTAATGTAGTCACTTTATCCTTGAAATATGATGTGACACTCGTGTGATTATTTGTCTTTTTAATTATTGTTTTTAATCATCGCCAACGACAATACATTACGTCGATTGTCAGCATCCACCATCACCATCTAGCCACCACCAAAACAACCATATAACAAACAAGTCAAACACATTCATATTGAACAAGAAGGAGTTGCATAAACAAAATCAAGTTTCTTTCAAATATCAAACACTATAAAATAAATGATTTTTACCGATAAAAATCATCCAGGAAAATTTTCGTCTGTGATTATCAACGGATCACCCATAAATATCAATGGTTCAGGTAGAATCCGATGTTTTTGAAGAAAATACTAATGGATCATCTTCAAGATACCTGGTAATCTATCACTGATTTGGGTTTCCCACCAACTTTTATGACAAATTTGTAATGAATCGCTCATTTAGCAACAAATTTCTTAGGGAAGAATCTGTAGGTAACTCTTCCATTTAGTAATGAAATAATATAAGAAACATAAACTGAATCAAATTCTAAAACTAAACAAACCCATGGATGAACCTGTGGATGAATATATTCAAGACGATACTGATCATGCAAAGGAAAAAGAGGGTGGTGATGGGTTTTCGGCGAATAAGGAGTTGATCAGAGCATGGGAGGGAGGGGGGGAGCGTCGATCGGAGGTCTTGGCTGGATATGATAAGTCTCTGGTTTTGATCCTAATGTTTACAGTTTCTATATATATATATATATATATATATATATATATATATATATATATAATTTATTAGTATAATAATTTATACAATTCAAAATATGAAATAAAAATAAAAAGACCAAAATACCCTTCACGTAATGGATAGAGTTAACAACCCTTAGGCGGGATAGATTAAAACCGGTGATTTTACATACCTCAAGGGTCTTTTACGGAATCCTATCCAAAGAAATTAACAAATTATAGGGACCAAAAATACAATTTAATATTATAATGATTATAAAATATTGTAACATTAATTTTGATCCACGATTTCTTGTATCTTATATTTGTCGATGGACATTATAGATATTATAGGTAATAAACAAAACCCTTGTTAAATAATACACCAAATTAAATGTCGTCTTAATTTTTATATAACTAGATAGGTCATGCATTGTGACGTGATATATCTTGATATCAAAGTTAAACACTCGAAAATTTAGTTCTGATTTATGCTTTGTTCTATCGTCTATCCTTCAAGATTATATGGTTTTTTGTGGTTTTGACAGAGCGATAGATTCTAGGATCGAGTATCAATATTATAAAATGTTACGTCGTATTAGTATGGCTCAACACTTATTTTATATTTGAAGTGCTTATCAACTAGTTATCCGTTAGTTATATGTTGTTTAAACGTAAAAGATTGTATAATAACCCACATCTATATATAATTCGCTTCAAATGCAACTCATCACATATATACAACCAATGTAACCCAATAAATTAAGATGTTTATGGAAATAATAAGAGTTCATTTATATTATATATATATATATATATATATATATATATATAGTTGGATTCATACAAGAACAATAACCAAATAAAAAAAATAAGAAAACGGAATCACATGTAATCGTACACTAAAATCACGTTTAAAATCATATATGATTTCCCTGACCTTCCTGCATATTTTGCATTGACCGTTAGTGTAAAATTACATGTGATTTTACCATTTTCATATTCTCTAACTATTTAGATATATTGTTATCATTTGAACCTCCACATTCACATATATAATAATAACAATTGAACCTCCATATAAGAATACCCTCCTTTTGAGATGATATATATATATATATATAGAGGAGTGATCATATGAAAACCGCCCTCATTTGTGTAAACCGTGCAAACCACCTTCATCTGTCGATTTCAATGTTTAATCTTATGAAATTTTTTCATGAAATTGTTTAATCTTGTGAAATTGTTTCATATAATACTTTTTTTGATGAAGTTGTTTCATATATGGTTGTGAAATTGTTTCATATAATACTTAATGAAACTGTTTCATGTATTTCTCTAACATTAATGAAACTGTTTCATGTATTTCTCTAAAATTAAAATAATGAAGATGATAATATCTATGATTAACACCCTTCACAATAAAAATGATTAATCAACCTCTTATAATTACAAAAAAATGAACAAAATGAAAAATTATGATTGGTTGAATGCGGTTTGCACGGTTTGTACAAATTGAGTGGTTTGCATTTGATCGCTCCCCTATATATATATATATATATATATATATATATATCAAATGGAAAGATTAATTAAGAGGCAGATAGTTAATATGCTTCCTTACCATTACATTATTTTTAAATGTAATGATTGTGGTTTTAATTAATAAGAATATTAATTAGTTAATCCATTAAAATGAGGTATTAATATAAAGTAGTTGTCACTATTAATACATAAACCAAAAATAATAAGTTGGCAAAATAGAATCAAAATAGCTAAAAGTTCATTGAATTTGACCATCCTAATCCTTCATGTATTTTTATATTACAAGATTCCTAATTTTCTTGAAAATAAAATTAGGCTAAAAAACCGTCCACATCGGGGTACCTGAACCTAATCAACAAAACCTTATTTTACACCGAACATGGCTCAGACACACCACCTGAATTTAAAACTAAATAAAAAAGAAAATAAAATAAACATATT